CTCCCATTCCTCATGATCCATGCCAAAAATGTCTTAGGGGCGAGTGAGGTGAGTTGTATCATGTTCAAGTAGCATCAGTGGAATTTATTCCATTTGCAAGCGATAGATGGCAATTCTGAGTCACTCGGCTGACGGAGAGCAGCTTCCCATAACTTTCAGTGCACTTCTGGCAGCGTACGTGCTCGCGTCTTGAGATGAGCGCGACCAATATGTATTTTACACATCGTTGAAAACTATAGCGATTTGTGTGTGAATGTCCTCGACGCTTCAAAATTAGTGTCGTGAGATTATTCCTTAGACGAGCATTTAAGTATTGTTCTGGTTGGTTGGACTAACATTCAGAGTTGGCACGAATCAAGCAGATCTTGGTGAACAACGATTTTTTTTCAACTCTGACGTTGACAACGAAATGCAACGGCATATGATATTGCATGCATGCCTTTTGACGATAAACCAAGAAGAGACAAATAACCGGCCGTTCAGATGTACTATCAAAATTAAATGACATCTGTCTACAAATGAAGACCCCACGTGTACACAAAACGTATTATTGACTGATTGAGAGTGTCGTGATTGGGATCTTATAGGGCTCGTTACGCTGTCCAGAGGCCCTATGCTGTTTCCAGGGGGCCTATATGCCCACTGGCAGGGTCAACCCGATCGCCAAGGAGCCTTCCACGCTGCACTTACTTTCTCTGCATTTGCCGGGAGGGCCCTGGGCTGTTTCTGGGGCTCTTCCTGTCTCGTGCCGGGGCGCCCTTGTCAATTAGGGCCTTTCACGGATTCTTCCCATTCGCCCGAAAGGCCCTGTACTCGATAGTCAGGGCCCCACATGCTAACCTGCCGGTGTATTCTCGGTTGCTCAGAGGCCCTTTACTTTGGTATCGGTTAACCTACCGACACACTCGCGATATGCTCATGAGCCCTCCTCATTGGTCTGGGGCCCTTCCAATTCTTTGTCACTTGCTTAGGGCCCTACGCTCCCGTCAGGTCCGTCTGTTAACCTGCTTGGGCACACTCGGTCGTTCGGGACCGTCCAAACTGGGTCTTGGGTACTTTCAATTTCATTAGAGGGCCCTACACCCTTGTCTGAGCCCATCTTTTCAGCCCACTAGTGTAGATTGATTTGCGAGTGAATCATTGCAAAACGTGATCAACAAAGCGGTGGCAAGGAGTGGCAATGAATCATGCAACAAGCTGATGCATATTTCAGCAGTCCATTTCGAATAGTTTTGGCGGTAGCGGATTGTATTCGGCGCCGCCTTTAAAACTTGAACCTTGCATTGTGCAGAACAACCATGCGTCGCACAAACTGACAATGTACGCTAAAATTACAGCCGCTTCAATTGTAAATGTGGGGAAACAATATTCACGCCTCTGCTTTCAATGGGTGCCAAGATATAAACCAAAACGTAAAAACCCGCCAAAAGCAGATAATCCCATCTTTTCAACAGGTGTGCACGTGCCACGTACCACGTGGCGCCACAAAATTACACTAGTCCGACGGCCCGTGCAATTGTCTATCTGGGTGTGTAAGTTTCATATCGCTGCGACCCTTGGTTATCGAGATATGACTTCGGTGGTGGAAGCGTGTCGGGCCGTTGGCCAGTGGTCGCAAAATTGGTGTCGCCCGTATTAAACCCATGGCGGATTTTCACACTTTTTCGCTCACCACGCTCTCATTTTTGCGAAATGCAGAATTTTGACCAAACGCTGCCCTGTGCCAGCAGCCCTTGATCGTTTGAAAATTTCATGCCAAAACTCCTGACCATCTAGCCTGTGCGTGATCCCAAACATCATTTGTGTCACAACACTTCTAAACCCGTGAAAACACACAATTCAGTTTATCCGGAGCTTATGGGTGTCACACGTAATCAGTGGGTACGCACACGTGAAGCACACGACAGACCATTTAATTCCATATCGCGGCATGCCAGTGCCGTGTGGCTATATGCTCTGAGAACGAAAGTGGGACATAAAACGTAAAACACCGACGACATCAGCAGAGTGAACCTTCAGGGCCAGTGCGCACGTGCAACATCACATCTTGCACCACGTGGTTGTCCGTTAGATTGTCAATCGAAGCATAGCACTCTCGAGTCGCTTGGCACGCTGGGTGTCGCGATATCGAAAAAAAAACGTGTGAACTGGTCGAAAATAGCCAAACTCATGTTCCAATACGCCAGCACCATGACACGCGGCACATGTGACCAATCATTGTCATCTTATGCTTCCATTCTTTATCAAAGCGTACCGCTCCCGAGTGTGTCCGCGCCGCGTTTGCCGGAAGTTGGCACAAAACATGTGAACACGTGAAAGAGAGCAAAGTCCATCTCTGAGCGCGTGCCAAGTGACTGGTGCGTCCATAGCGTTTTGCATGGCACACGTTTTCATGCAACTCCCATGTCGCTCCGACCCGCCATTGTCGAGATATCGGTGCAAGATAGCACAATCGGTCGTCTGCAGACGATTGCGGCAGTCAAACAATTGGTCAATCGATTATTCAAACTTGAAGCAGCCGCCGGCGTCGGCCGAGATACTGGACAGCGTCGTTCTGTCGCGGCGTAAAAAGTCGCCATGCAACCGATTAGTCTAGGGCTCATTCGTGAAAATATGATTGTCAAAAGGGTGGTGCGGAGAGAGAATGAATATGCGAAAACTTGGTGTAGTTTTCAACGCTAAATTATTACTAATTTTGATGGTAGCGGCTTGTACTGTGTGCCGACCCTTAAAACTTGGCCGTTTGCAAGTTGTATTGCAATTTGCAAAGCAACGGTGCGTTGCACAAACTCGCAGCGCACACTGAAAGTAAAGCTGCCTCAATTGTGAATGTTGGGAAACAAAAGTCACGTCTCTACCTGCACTGCATGCCGAGATATACCCCAAGATGTAAAAATCGAGATATAATCATGGAATTGGCCACCAGAAACGGCCAATTCCATCTTTCCAAAAGGTGTGCACGTGACACGTAAAATGTGATGCTTTAGACTTACACCAGTGCAATGGCCCATGCAATGGCCCAGTGCAATGGCCCACTGGCTGTGCAAGTTTCATGTCGCTGCGATCCTTGATTATCGAGATATGACTCCGGGTGTGGACGCGGGTCGTACCGTCGTCTGGTGGTCGCCGATGTGGCGCCGTACGTGTCAAACCTATGGGTTTTTTGCCGCATTTTTTTGCTCACGACCCGCTCATTTTTGCGAAACGCAGAGATTTGGCGTGACACTGCCGCGCTCTTTCGTCAGTCCTTGGTCGTGTGAAAATTGCATCAGAAAATTCCCTCCCGTTTGGCCTGCGCATGATCGCAAGGAATCGGTGGGGAACATACAAACATTGTTCCGTTAGTATCATAGGAGATAGATCGAGACCCCCTCAAAGTCGATCTGGCAACCCCGTCGTGATGTCAACGTGGGGTGCCTGGACAAGCCACAACATTTCGAGCCCATAGGAAGGGGTGTTTTTCAGAGGCAAATTGAGAAGGCACAAACGGCTGAAACGCTTCCAGCACTACACAAAATGTGTGTTCTCTCGTATGACAGGTGTGCTTTTGAAGCTCAGTGTCTAAGCATTAAATTGTAAGTCACTTTGCACAGGCGTTGCAACGCTAACCTTAGTGGCGTCACTGGCACCAACACCTGGTTTGTAGATTACGCTAGTGTTGTTCGTGAGCTTATGATACTCACCCAGTTTTCCAAGATACTTACAGCTTGCTTCTCAAAGCGTTATGCGTTTTGAAATGCAAGCTGTACTCACTGGGTTCGAAATGTCTTGTCAGCTCGCATTCAAATGCCTTCCCTTTATTTTGTTCGGTCGCCATATCGACCTACTGTCACCCCAACCTACCGGTCAGCCGTTAACCTGCTTGACGTGATCATCACCAACAGACGGCAGCTCGTGGCGAAGAGCGGCGTGACGCGGTGCCACTACGGCGGGCCGCATGATTTTTCGCGTGTGCTGCTGCGGCAAAGTGGTCCGTCGTCCCAGCGCTGCGGAGGCGCCCTGTCGCGCTGTCTCAACCGAGCAGACATCAACAGCCCTAACGAGACGCTTGCTAACGCGGTCTGGACCCCTGTTTTTGCTGCTGGCGACCCGACGGAGAAATAGGACGCATTCCTACGAGTTTTCATTTCCTGTCGGGACGAGAGGAGCCCGTGAGGCGTGTGAGGGTGTGTGCACCCGGCGCCCTGCTGGCAGCAGGCTGCTGCTGTCCACGGAAACCCGCCAGCTGCTGGCCGACCGACGTGCCGCGCTGGCGGTCGGGCCGACTGAGCGGATCCTGTACCGTCACCTGAAGCGAGATAGCTACGGTGCGATACGTCGGGACTGCCTTCGGGAGTACGCCGGGAATACCTTCACCGTGAGCTCAACGAAGCCGGCCCCAGCCGTGCGTGACAGGTACTCCGGTCTATCATCGCAACTGAGAAAGAACCAGCCATTGCACCTGATGTCACAGCTGGCGCCGTCAGCTGTTATTTTGCAAGTGTGGGACCGAACACAGCTGCTAGCGTACCACCGCCGCAACGTGATGTGCATTTCAGGCTCCCTCGTGTGCCTTCACGCGCCATGCGGAAAGGCCTCATAAATTACGATTATTTATGTATAACAATAGGATCTGTGAAGCCATCCAAGTCAACCGGAACCGATGGAGTGAGTGCATTTATGTTGCAACGAGTTTTCGCGGGCCTTTGCTACTTGTTGCTGGACGTTGTCAATGCAAGCCTAGTCACATGAGTGGTGCCAGCGAGTTGGAAGCACGCAGTTATAACGTTGGTACCGAAAGTAGGGAGGTAAGCCATTTCGTCGAACTGGCGACCCACTTCCGTACTGCCTGCTATGACTTAAATAGTTGAACAACTTGTGCACCGCCGAGTAAGCGTTTATTTTGATAAAAACTATTTGTTTTCGTCCTCCCAGCACGGATAGCAATTTCTTTAGTGCCCCTGAATTGTTCAAAATGTTTTGACGCGATCGGTCACAGAAAATTACTCAGCATACTAAACATGTACGGCATAGACAGTCACTGGCTAGGTAACCATCTTGAGGACACACTCAGAATAGCTCGGAGGGACGGAAGTGAGACTCTCTCAGAGTCACTGCCAAACACAACCGGAGTCTATCAGGGTGGAAGCCTGAGCTGTTCGATGTTTTTCATATTCTTGAACGAGATGAACCTGTGTACCGGCAGCACTAGTGATCCCAGTTGCCGACAATGCCCAGCTGTTCGTTTGTGACCGTAAAGAGCAGCTTGCAGATCTTGTTATTCGTTTGGAAACCGCTCCCACAGAACTTATTAACCGGTTCAACCGTGAATTAAATGAAAATTAATGCGACAAAACTGAATTTGTGGAACTTGAAACAAAACGTATGCTTCGTAATGCTCCCAAAACTACGATCCAAATCAAAGCACGACAGTTACTGAAACCAGAGCTGTTAAGAATTTGAGTCTCGCGATTGACAGAAACCTAACATTTCAACCACGCATTGACCAACTGACAGCTAAGTGTGCTGGTGAACTCATTGCCCTCATCCACGCCAACCACCTCGTTCCGCGCTGTGTTCTACGGCAAGCAGAGGAAGGACTCGTGATGTCCTCAGTTCGTTACTGCATATCTATTTACGGAGCCTGTGGCACCACACAACTTCACCGAGTACAAAAACTGGTCAATTTTTGCACCCGTGTCATTTCAGGCAAAAATAAGTGCGATGCAACTTGGAAGGAAGTAACACGTTTAGGTATTCTGTCGGCTCAAAACCTGCTAAATATCACCACATAGCTCTCACCAAATAGGACAATCGACAGACTTCCGAGGATTATTCCAAGACCGTCTAGAACAACTACAGCACTTGTCAGACAGCACAACTTAAAGTGACGCGCGCCAGCACGAACGCCGGAAAGCGTAGGCCCAGCCACGGGGCTGTGACATTGTTTGACCGCCTGCCAGCCGCTATGCAAGGCACTAGACACGTGCCGCGCCACAATGCAGATTTGATGCGCCTTCTGCCCCGAGATGGCCAGCTGAGCTGAGTGTACGTTGCTGGGCTGGTTTGTGAGTTGTTAGTTGTTTCAGTTGTGAGGCTTGTGACTTTGTTTTCCCTTGTCTGCTGTTTACTTTTGTGTGCAATCTTGACTTCGTTCATGAAAAACCTGGAGGTATCCCGGGATGTAACCGCAATAAACTGAACTGAACTGAACTGAACTGAGAGCTCAACTCTCGCACTGACTCGCTGTTTTTCGCAAAACAAACTGTTGGGGCGGGGGAGTCGACGAAACCCAACCCGCCACACAGGTTACACAATTGTGTGAACTGTATCATCTGAGCATATGGTCCTTAGTTTTGTGTCTTTTGAGCACATATGTTCTGTCAGTTCTGTTACTGTTAGAATTCTGTTACTGTAACAGTTTACTCCCCCGCCGCCGCGAACAACAGCTTTGTCGGTTGCCGCAAGTCACCTGCGCCGGTCGAAGATTGCCATGCGGTGTCCCTACAAAGGTCACTTTTCAGAAACCGGATGCTATGGACACATTTTTGTGTCCAAACACACATAATGAATGCCCCGGATGACACAGAAAACTGGGCACGGCTGTAAAACATGCCGGAAAGGTATCCTCAAAAAACCTTAGGGAGGAGCCTCGACGGTGCACTCCACCTCATCAACCAACTTATCAGGGGAGGCTTGATTGGTTTCAGAGTGCATGAAAGCAAAATCATGCATAAGCCATAGCCATGCATCTGCCTGGATAGCCAGCTCCCGCTTCAGCGCCTAAGCTGCCCTAGGGGGCTGGCGCCGACACCTGCTTCCTTAATAAGTCAAGTGCTTCCTTTTTTCGTCGCTCACGTCAGGCTTGCGCACAGTTCAGCGCGCAAACGTAGTCCTTCGCGGAATGGAGTAGTGGAAACTTCAAATAGCGCTCAGAACCCTTTTGCGATAAAATGCTTCGAACGAACCCTGGCTCTTAAAATTTTGTACAGGCACTTTGTGTCAGCAGGCACGACACCACGCTGCACTGTGCGTCTTGCCCTGATTTCATTAAAAAAATTATGCACCTGTGGTTGTTATGTCCTCATTTCAGGATGCACCGTGGACCGATTCTGCGCAGGAAATCTTAAGTAAGGTGAATCCGCTAAAATTAGTACTTTAACGCCTTAAACTTTATTCCGTGAACTTATGCCGCGCTATTAGATTGCATAGACCTGTGTCCATAACCGCGACAACGACAGCATCAATGGTTTTTGTAGAGGTATCAAATCTAGCACTACCGAAATGCTTGGCATACGACAGAAACATCTACTAAATTGCTCCGATTTACCTTCGTTATATATTTAAATAGCAAAAGTCAATCAAGGACTTTCAGCATACACCAAGTTCTTGGACTGTATTACATTTATTTTTCACGGGAGGTCTTATGATTGAGGAAATCTGCATTAGCCCAGCGCCCTAGCCGATAAGACGTCGTATCCAATAGAAAATCTAGCCCCTGTGAACACGTCGCTGGTTGCCAGGTCCACATCACCTGTGGATCCAATAACCGTGATAGTAGACATTCGTGGACCATTTCTCTCCAGACTTAAACAAGCAAATTTATTATTGCACAGCTTTTGTGATTTTAGGTGGTGGGCGATAGCTTTTGTGCATGTTTTGTGACTATATGTATTTGAGGTTTTTTCATTACGAATACATTTTATACGCATCCAAGTAACGATAGGACCTACGGCCCTCTCCGAACCAAAAGATATTCCTAAGACAGCGATGCAAAACTTTCATCCCTGAAAACTCAAAAGCTTGTAATTTTGATATTTCTTCGACGAGGAGATAGGGTCTCAAAACGCTAGAATGTACAGATATCGGAGAGCATATGCGTGATTTTGCACAAATGTCATTATATAAATATGCAATATATATGTGCGTGTGTGTGTGTGTGTGTGTGTGTGTGTGTGTGTGTGTGTGTGTGTGTGTGTGTGTGTGTGTGTGTGTGTGTGTGTGTGTGCGTGCACTGATAACTAAGCGTTGCTTATTTCACACGGCCGATCTTCATGTTTCGGCAAGTACCTTGGAGTGGCGTGCTGTTGCCTGCGGATGCAGGTAGCGATGCTGAGCCGCCTGCCGCCGTCCGTTGTCACGCTCCTGCCGGTTAGCCATGCCCCCCCCCCCCCCCTCTCCCCCACCTCTAGCGGCCATTTCCGCCGCCGCAGTGTCATTCTGGGCCAGATCGCCCAACCAGGACCAGCCGACAGCAGGCGGTGCGTCGTCATCAGTGCTGTGCTCAGGTGCGTCAGCGGGAGGCAGCCAGCTGGCAAGACGAGGATGTCACACCAACCCTGGATCTGGCGCCCCGGTGTATCGTGAATTGGAAGCGTCTTCGAGCTAGGAAGTTCCCGGCTCGTGTATGTATGTCTGCGGGCAGTGGGCAGAAATCGGCAGTTTGCAGTTTTACCGGGCATTTTTCAAGCTGTCAGCCGGTCAGGAAGACAATGTGTAACGTCTCTGGACACTTTGCAAAAGGGCAGCGCGCAGGTAGTCTGGGCAGTCCGCTAAATGCTGAATCAATCAGGCAAGTTGCAAGCCGTGTCGTGCTCCGGAAGCTTGTAGGCTCCCTAGATCATGGTTCAATAAGAATCAGATAGCATTTATTTACGTTTACATTTTTTTTGTTGCTTTCTTACTCCCATGCATGACACTTGAAATTGTTTGCACGCTTGCTTCGCTGTGATTAATATTAAAGTTAATTTTTACGTTTTGCAGCTGGATTCATGGCTCTAGCTGCTCTAGGTGCTCAGATATGGCGCAAAGTGTAAGAAAGCTCGGTAACGGCCAAGTCCGTCCTGCCGGCTCTTGCACGCGTAACACGCAGCATGTACAATATCACAATTTATGTCATGTGGTTGTTCGTCCGATTCCCTATCAATGCACACCACTCCCGAATGTGTCCGTGTCCCGGGTGTCGAGATGTGGCACAAAGCGTGTAAACCCGTGGACAAGAGCAAAATCTATCTTCCTAGCTTGTGTGAGCGAGACACGTGGCCCGTGTGACCGAAACGTGCTACTCCTCAAAAGGCAGTTCCTTTCGTTTCTGATGCACGACGCTCCCGAATCGCTTCGTGCTCTTTATGCCGAGATGTGGTGCGAAACGTGGAAATGATCGGAGGCAGCAAAATCTGTCTTGCCAGCTCGTGTGGGCACCACACGTCGCACGTGCAAAATCACTGTTGCACCACGCGATTGCCAGTTAGATTGCCCACCATGGCATTCCAGCAAAATCAATACTCCAGAACGTGTGTCCCGTGATACGTGGCACATATCACCAAACATTTTCATTGGGTGAAAAATTTAGCAGCCCATTAAATTTTTACCAGTGCATGCCACTCCCAAATCGCCCCAAGTCTTCGGTGCCGCGATGAAGAGAAACACGCAAATGTCGTCGAAAACAGCAGAATCCATATTGTCTTGCCAGCTCGTGTGAGCTACACGTGGCCCGTGTAAACCAAACTCTGATCCCAACCAGTCGCCATGCCGAAATCGCCAACAAATCTCGATGCACCTCCTTAGAGGGTAGACGAATGATAATTTATATTCCACATGCAGTCCCACAAAGGCGACATCTCCCGGCTGAAAAATATGTGGTTTCTTCCAAGGGAGGAGCTAGTAGCAACAAACCCGTAAAAACCTCAAGCCCTTAAAGCAATACACCCTTAAGACGCACCCGGCCGACCGGTTGAACACCTTTCGCTCGGGTGCGGGTCAATTTGAGCGCCTGAAATCTAAAAAATTAAGGACACCAAACTGACAGAGTGAATTAGTCTGTACGTCAACTCACTTGTGCCAAATTTGAGGCTCTTAGGTTATCATCTTGCGGCCAACTAAGGTCAAACAAGGTCAAACTCAAGATTGGTGTCGAACGTGCCCACATGCAACCGCCACGATGCTAGATACCTGTTGTAAGCAAACGGTCAATGGTATTCAATTAAGATTAGTGACGTTGCTCGACATTTATGAGGTCGAGATGACCGAGTGCCCACGAGATTGCTCCTATTATACCATTCGGACAAGTGTTAGTGGTTACGTAAGCGGTATGTTCTTAAAAAACATAATACTTCCTTGAATCATTTTAGGTCAATGACCTACTCCGACCTTTAAAAAGCCCATGGAACATGTCTGTAACGGCCTCTGCCATTGATAAATTCAAAATGGGCACCAGAAGCTACCCAACAAACCAAGCTCTCCAGTAAAAAAAAAACAGATTCGTTTGGTCTCAGTCTCACATTTGTTCCTGACACACAGTTCAATAGAATTGGTTGTAATTCCAAATGGAATTGGTTTATTGCCTAAAAAAACTATTTCAGATACGTATGACTTCATCCAACACTTTGCTCTCGCATCACATTCAACGGAGTCCTAAAAATGTCTTCCGCTGAGGTCGTGGCCTGACTTTGACCTGCCTTTTACTTTGACCTGCCTTTTACTTTGATCTGCCTCTTACTTTGACTCTGACTTTTAGGTCAGCGATCTTACAAGCTGCATCTAATTTTTTGCATACAAAAATCTGCTATTCGATTCTCTACAACTGTGCGAAAAAAGGCGTGGCTACGCCGCGCCGTTAGGAAATAAATCTGGAAAACCTTCAGATACCAATTCCGAATTTGATCGACATGGCAAAACTGCAGAACACGTCGCATGCAGTCTCAACGAACACGAACGCACCCCGTTGCAAACGCTACAGAAGGCGATTAACACACAAAACCCTCTCACACTCGGCAGTGTTTCACGGCAAAGCGTCACCATGACTCTAGGACCAGTGTTCGGCTGCGCCAGGAAGCTTTCGTCTAACAACACGAGCACGCATGCCGAACTAAAGCTGACACGCGGTTTGTTTAGGTCCGTTCAAGGCCGCTAATGATATGTGACGCCGTCAGAGTGCGGGTCGGCCCGACCGGGCTCAGTGGCGTGAGCCATTTTCAACATCAATTAAGTGTGACGAATAGGCTAATAGTGCGTATTGATTTAGATGTTGTGAGTTAGGTGCTCATTGTATGCATATTTTGCATGCACACGTTGTACGTGTATTGTTATCTGTTCGTTCGCGCCTTCCCAGTTCCGGATCACACACACGACGCTCGCTATTGTGCGCACAAGGCACAATGGCGATGTGGGGAACTGGCTCCTAAATTTGGGGCGCTATAATTTAACATGGGACATCACATGACGCCTCCCCCTTAACAAAGGTAGTCAGCGAGGCGCGACGGTTGGTGACTGGTGCGCTGCGAACGTCGGAGAAAAGCCGGACGGTCGCCAGGATCTGCCAGAGCGGCGTTGGGACCGGGCGACAAATCTGGTCCGGATGTCGTCGCGGTTAGGAAATCTCGCAGGACCCAGCGGCGTGGCGCTGTTTTCCAGGATGTTTGAAGTTGATGCCAGCTGCGTCGGTGCAGCATGGGCGACGTGTTTCCTGTTCCTCAGGAACGTTCCCGCTGGTGTTGTCACCCAGTAGGTTCTGGAACCTGGATCCGAGGCAGTGACGGTACCGGAGCGTGACCATCTCTTCTCTTGGTCTGTCTTCAGCAGGACTTGGTCGCCGTCTCTAGGGAGTGGCAGGTCATCGTGACGCCGGTCGTAAGCAGACTTCTGTAGCTGCTCTGAACGGTAGTCGCGTTGCTTGAGCTTGGCGTGGCTGACCACTCGTGGCTGGAGCTGTGTTTTCAGCACGGGCAGTCGCGTCCGAAGTTTTCGGGACATCAGCGCCTCAGCAGGGCTGACCCCGGTTGTGGAGCATGGTGTGGTTTTCATCAGGCCTACACCTTTGGCAGTTGTGACTTCATTCAGTTTGGCCACCAGGCCCATCCCGACAGCAGCATCTCCGGCCAGGCGCTTGTTGGCCATTTGGCCATTCATGACCACCACTTTAAATGAGTAGGTCTGGCCCTTGTGCAGGGTGGTGGCCCTGAACTCAGCCACACACTGCGGCTCTCCTCCAGGGCTGGTCAGGCGAGTTCGCGGCTTGGTCAGGGTTGGCGGCTCCTTCATTGAGCCCCACACATCTTCAGTTATCGCAGACACCTCAGCTGGAGTGTCAATTTTGAACCTTATGGAGCTTGTGTTGATGGTCAGAGAATTGGGCCATGACTTTTCCTCACTTGCCTGGGAGTTCACGGCTCCCAAGAAATATTTTAGTGTTTGTTCACTAACTTAGGTTTCAGATTCACTGTCTCCAGTCACTACTTTTTGTACTGTGCGGCTGCGGCAAACTACTGAGAAGTGACCCTAGCCGTGCACTCTTCTCGCATGCTTTCCCATTCGCTGGGCATCGACCTCCAGTGTGGGTGGTGAAGCCACAGTGACCACATGGCTTTTTGTTCTTGCAGTTTGGCTCAGTTGCTTTGCCCCATGGCTCGCTTGCCTGTGCCTGGTTGGTGGGATACCTGGGTATGGCTCCATTGTTGGTGCGCACAGGGCACACCTCAGGCTCCCTTCCACACAACAGCTGTTGGTCCTTTAAGGCTGACTCTTCCAAGGCTGCAATCTCATTGCTTTTCGCGGGGTCAGATCAGGATGCTTCAGGAACTGCATTACAGTTGATGTCTCACTGAGACCCATGCACAGTCTGTCCCCGATCATTTCATCCAGGCTTGGGCCAAACTTGCATGTGGCAGCCAGGGTGCGGAGAGCTGAGGCATGCTGCAGGACAGTCTCACCTGGTTGCTGGGCCCTCTTATGAAAGTTGCACCTTTCCCCAATTGGGTTCTCTCTTGGGATGCAAAACTTGTCAAACTGATCAGTGATCTTCTCCAGGTTATGGGCATCTTCTTCCCCCTCCCAATCAAAATGGGAATACCACTCTTGGGCGGAGAGGCCAGCGCAGTTGAAAGAAATTCCAATTTTCACTTTTTCTGCCTTCCTATCAAACTCATTGGCATCGTAGAAGAATTACCAGTCCTGATTCCACGTGCGCCAAGCACTAGCAAGGGCTGGATCAGCCAGATTCAACTCAGTGGGCTTTCTGAAGGAAGACATCGCAATTGGCTCAAGGCGAAACGGGCGCGGACTACCCGGCACCCGCCGGAGGGAAATGATCGGTCTACAATGACAATATTTCCCTGAAACAAGCCTTCAGAGCAGTGATGCGTGGCGGTTGCCTATTCTGGCACCATGTCTTGTTATCTGTTCGCTCGCGCCTTGCCAGTTCCGGATCACACACATGACGTTCCACAGTTGGCGTCCGTATTTGAACTGCACCACCGGAGCCCAACGGAATCGCGTCAAGGTACACGGTGGC